TGGTGGTCTGCTTGAAAGATGTAGGTATTACAGACTCGGTCAGGGAGAGGTTGAACATGTCAGGTAAGACACTTGCCAGTTGGTCCTCGCATGCTCTGAGTACACGTCCTGGTAATCCGTCTGGCCCTGCAGCCTTGTGAATGTTGACCTGTTTAAAGGTCTTTCTCACATCGGCTACGGAGAGCGTGATCACACTGTTGTCCAGAACAGCTGGTGCTCTCATGCATGCTTCAGTGTTGCTTGCCTCGAAGTGAGCATTAAAGGCACATCCGACGAGCATCAGAGCCAGTGTAGTAGGATTCAGTCTTAGTCCTGTATTGACGCTTTGTCTGTTTGATGGTTCGTCTGAGGGCATAGAGGGATTTCTTAGAAATGTCCGGATTAGTGTCCCTCTCCTTGAAAACGGCAGCTCTAGCCTTTAGCTCGGTGCGGATGTTGCCTGTAATCCATGGCTTCTGGCTGCAGCTTCTCTACTCTTTTTGCGGGAGCTTCATCCGGGTGGACTGAGCTCTGCCAACACTGCTCTCTCAGTTCCCGCCCCAGCCCCTGCTTCCAGCGACTTGAGGGAGGTCTGTCAAATGCTCAGTCTACTCTGCTCTCACGTGGTTGGCCAGGGACCTTGGCAGAGTCTCAGCTCACTCAACAAATAGCTCCAGATGACCCTATGCCTGTTAGCTCTGATGGGAATGAGCTGAATACCCCCGACTTTAAATCTCATAGGGGACTTGGGCTAATGCACCTAAATGTGCAAAGTATGATTTAAAAAATGGACACAATTGACATTTGGGTGCAGAACTCATGTTCTGACATTCTGGTTCTCTCGGAAACACGGTGAAATGGTTCTGTCTCTGATAAAGACATTGAAGTAAATTATTATAATGTATTTAGATGTGACAGATTACAGAAAGGGGGAGGAGTGGCCATATATGTCAAATTTAATTTCATGGCATCCCAATCTTTAAATATTTCTGTTCCCAAGAAATTTGAGCTCCTGGTTGTAGATGTGTCCATAAACCAGAATACACATTTATTTGTTTCTGTGATTTACCGCCCCGCCCCCCCCCCCCCCCCCCCCCCCGCCCCCCTGCTGCCATGGTGATGCTATTGGTGCTATATCTGAGTGTTTAACAGCTTTTCTGTCCTTGGAGTTGGTCATTTTAGGCAATTTGATAAACAGTGAGTAGCAGCAGTGTAAAAACAAAAGGGGGGCAGTATCAATGTAAATAGTCTGGGTGGCCATTTTATTAATTGTTCAGCAGTCTTATAGCTTGGGGGTAGAATCTGTTAAGGAGCCTTTTGGACCTAGACTTGGCGCTCCGGTACCGCTTGCCGTGCGGAGAGAACAGTCTATGACTTGGGTGACTGGAGTCTTTGACAATTTTTTGGGCCGTCCTCTGACACCGCCTGGTATAGAGGTCCTGGATGGCAGGAAGCCGTACACATTACCCGCTGTAGTGCCTTACGGTCGGATGCCGAGCAGTTGCCATACCAGGCGGTGATGCAACCGGCCAGGATGATCTCGATGGTGCAGCTGTATAACTCTTTGAGGATCTGGGGACCTATGCCAAGTCTTTTCAGTCTCCTGAGGGGGAAAAGGCGCAGTCGTGCCCTCTTCACGACTGTCTTGACATCAAGGAACTTGAATCTCTCTACCTGCTCCACTACAGCCCCATCGATGTGAATGGGGGCATGTTCGGCCCTCCTTTTCCTGTAGTCCACGATCAGCTCCTTTGTCTTGCTCACATTGATGGAGAGGTTGTTGTCCTGGCACCACACTGCCAGGTCTCTGACCTCCTCCCTATAGGCTGTCTCATCGTTGTAGGTTATCAGGCCTACCACTGTTGTGTCGTCAGCAAACTTAATGATGGCGTTAGAGTCATGCTTGGCCACGCAGTCGTGGGTGAGCAGGGAGTACAGGTGGGGACTAAGCACGCACCCCTGAGGGGCCCCCGTGTTGAGGATCAGCGTGGCAGATGTGTTGTTACCTACCCTTACCACCTGGGGGCGGCTCGTCAGGAAGTCCAAGATCCAGTTGCAGAGGGAGGTGTTTAGTCCCAGGGTCCTTAGCTTAGTGATGAGCTTTGTGGGCACTATGGTGTTGAACGCTGTAGTCAATGAACAGCATTCTCACATAGGTGTTCCTTTTGTCCAAGTGGGAAAGGGCAGTGTGGAGTGCGATTGAGATTGCGTCATCTGTGGATCAGTTGGAGCGATATGCGAATTGGAGTGGGTCTAGGGTTTCCGGGATGATGGTGTTGATGTGAGAGATGACCAGCCTTTCAAAGCACTTCATGGCTACCGACGTGAGTGCTACGGGGCGGTAGTCATTTAAGGAGATTCCCTTCGCTTTCTTGGGCACAGGGACTATGGTGGTCTGCTTGAAAGATGTAGGTATTACAGACTCGGTCAGGGAGAGGTTGAACATGTCAGGTAAGACACTTGCCAGTTGGTCCTCGCATGCTCTGAGTACACGTCCTGGTAATCCGTCTGGCCCTGCAGCCTTGTGAATGTTGACCTGTTTAAAGGTCTTTCTCACATCGGCTACGGAGAGCGTGATCACACTGTTGTCCAGAACAGCTGGTGCTCTCATGCATGCTTCAGTGTTGCTTGCCTCGAAGTGAGCATTAAAGGCACATCCGACGAGCATCAGAGCCAGTGTAGTAGGATTCAGTCTTAGTCCTGTATTGACGCTTTGTCTGTTTGATGGTTCGTCTGAGGGCATAGAGGGATTTCTTAGAAATGTCCGGATTAGTGTCCCTCTCCTTGAAAACGGCAGCTCTAGCCTTTAGCTCGGTGCGGATGTTGCCTGTAATCCATGGCTTCTGGCTGCAGCTTCTCTACTCTTTTTGCGGGAGCTTCATCCGGGTGGACTGAGCTCTGCCAACACTGCTCTCTCAGTTCCCGCCCCAGCCCCTGCTTCCAGCGACTTGAGGGAGGTCTGTCAAATGCTCAGTCTACTCTGCTCTCACGTGGTTGGCCAGGGACCTTGGCAGAGTCTCAGCTCACTCAACAAATAGCTCCAGATGACCCTATGCCTGTTAGCGCTGATGGGAATGAGCTGAATACCCCCGACTTTAAATCTCATAGGGGACTTGGGCTAATGCACCTAAATGTGCAAAGTATGATTTAAAAAATGGACACAATTGACATTTGGGTGCAGAACTCATGTTCTGACATTCTGGTTCTCTCGGAAACACGGTGAAATGGTTCTGTCTCTGATAAAGACATTGAAGTAAATTATTATAATGTATTTAGATGTGACAGATTACAGAAAGGGGGAGGAGTGGCCATATATGTCAAATTTAATTTCATGGCATCCCAATCTTTAAATATTTCTGTTCCCAAGAAATTTGAGCTCCTGGTTGTAGATGTGTCCATAAACCAGAATACACATTTATTTGTTTCTGTGATTTACCGCCCCGCCACCCCCCCTCCCCCCCCCCCCCCCCCCTGCTGCCATGGTGATGCTATTGGTGCTATATCTGAGTGTTTAACAGCTTTTCTGTCCTTGGAGTTGGTCATTTTAGGCAATTTGAATCTGGATTGGCTATCCCCGGCCTCAGATCAATTTAAGAGTATGTGCATTGATTTTAGTCTGACTTAATTGATCTCAAAACCCACATGGCTAAATGTGAAAAAAAAACGTGGTTCAATTGACCCTGGTCAGTCAATCGACTGCTCTTCCCTCTGTCAGCCTCTAGCTGACTCGAAGGTTAACGCGTCAACTTCTAGTTAATCTTTGTTTTGTGAGGGAACATTTTGTTGTCTGAAGAGATAGCATTGAATTGTACACAGCATCTCCTTTCACGCTATCTTGGTTCGTGCAGGTGACTGTGACCTCCTCCTCAGACCAATTGGCTGTACATCCAGAACATTGTTCTGTACACAAAAAGGAGTATCTCAGTTTCAAGGTCTCAGCTTTGAGAGAAGAAGCCTTGTCAGAAAGCAACGTTGATAATGAATAATGTAAATCATGCTTATATGACTTGTTTGTATGGCAGTATATAAGGACTGAGAGGGAAGGCCCTTTTCAGAGTTTTCATCAAGCTTGGATTGAGTTTGTGAACCTCTCCGGCTGTGATAATAAAGATTGATTCATTTATATTGAGTTTGAGTCCTTAGTGGTGAATTTCCACAGCAGTTTTCATTTCAGCAATTTACTATCTGTGATGTGCTAGATGCCTTGCTTAAGATTGATGTAAAGAAAAATCCACAGGGGCTGATATGCTTGATCCATTTTTGCTGCAGCTCTCTGCCCCCGATTGCTGAATCATTAACCCTTGTTTTTAACCCGACCATTATATCTGGTACTATCCCCAAGGTTTGGAAGGCGGCCCATGTCCTCCCCCTTCACAAAAGTGGTGACCCTTGTGACCTACATAATTAATCGCCCTATTTCTAAACTTTCTTGCCTAGCTAAAACATTAGAATCATTGATTAATTCTCAGTTAATCTTTCTCATCTTTTAAATGTATTCTAAATGTACAGTATCAGTCAAACGTTTTGGACACACCTACTCATTCAAGGGTTTTTCTTTATTTTAACATTTTCTACATTGTAGAATAATAGTTAAGACATCAAAACTATGAAATAACACATATGGAATCATGTAGTAACCAAAAACATGTTAAACAAATGAAAATATTTTAGATTCTTCAAAGTTAGCCACCCTTTGCCTTGATGACAGCTTTGCACACTCTTGGCATTCTCTCATGAGGAATGATTTTCCAACAGTCTTGAATGAGTTCCCACATATGCTGAGCACTTGTTGAATGCTTTTCCTTCACTCTGCGGTCCAACTCATCCCAAACCATCTCAATTGGGTTGATGTCTGGGGATTGTAGAGGCCAGGTCATCTGATGCAGCACACCATCACTCTCCTTCTTGGTAAAATAGCCCTTACACAGCCTGTTATCCTATGGATAATGCAACGTCTTTCTCCTAGGGATAACGTCTTTCTCCTAGGGATAATGCAACGTCTTTCTCCTAGGGATAATGCAATGTCTTTCTCCTAGGGATAACACAACGTCTTTCTCCTTGGGATAACAACGTCTTTCTCCTTGGGATAACACAGTGTCTTTCTTCTAGGGATAACACAGTCCTCTAATGGTCATGCTAAACATAATTCACTCAAGTTCCGCACAATCTTTTGATCATACTGTAACCATGACAGTAGCCAAGAGAACGTAAACATGGAACTCTGTCTCGGTCTTGGATTGTTCCCCTCTTAAACCACTGGGAGGAGGTAGAGGGCAAGATAGGACTAAAACTGTGTCCGAAAGTTCAATTCTTCCTTTTCTTGTCTCCTCTCCTTCATGTCCACTGTGGATGGGATCTCTGATAGTCGTCTGTGTAGTTCTGCCCTTCTCCCCCAGTTCCTCTATGATCTCTCCCCCTGCCTCCATGTCATCAGCATCATCCATGAAGATGGGCCAATCATTGTCTCCGTCCCCGCGTTCCATGGCCTCTGGTTGGCCGTTGAGGTTGATGTGGGCGGGAGGTGAGTGGTCGTCGTGGCCCGTGGTATTAACACAGGTACAGTTGTCACACAGGCCAAAGCGTTTGAGTCCGTTGGACAGGGCTCCAGTGAAGCTACACCTGCACACCTTACATACCACGGGCCAACTGGAGCGGTGCACCTGGGTGTCAGAGACAGAAACACGAAGTCCATCAGTACAAACAGACTACAGTACAGAGGGGGACCAGGCTGACACAGACTACAGTACAGAGGGGGACCAGGCTGACAGACACAGACTACAGTACAGAGGGGGACCAGGCTGACAGACACAGACTACAGTACAGAGGGGGACCAGGCTGACAGGACTACAGTACAGAGGGGGACCAGGCTGACAGACTACAGTCCAGAGGGGGACCAGGCTGACAGACTACAGTACGAGGGGGACAAGGCTGACAGACACAGACTACAGTACAGAGGGGGACCAGGCTGACGACACAGACTACAGTACAGAGGGGGACAGGCTGACAGACTACAGTACAGAGGGGGACCAGGCTGACAGACTACAGTACAGAGGGGGGACCAGGCTGACAGACACAGACTACAGACAGAGGGGACCAGGCTGACAGACACAGACTACAGTAACAGAGGGGGACCAGGCTTTGACAGACACAGACTACACGTACAGAGGGGGACCAGGCTGACAGACTACAGTACAGACGGGGACCAGGCTGACAGACTACAGTACAGAGGGGGACCAGGCTGACAGACACAGACTACAGTACAGAGGGGGACCAGGCTGACAGACTACAGTACAGAGGGGGACCAGGCTGACAGACACAGACTACAGTACAGAGGGGGACCAGGCTGACAGACACAGACTACAGTACAGAGGGGGACCAGGCTGACAGACACAGACTACAGTACAGAGGGGGACCAGGCTGACAGACACAGACTACAGTACAGAGGGGGACCAGGCTGACAGACAAAGACTACAGTACAGAGGGGGACCAGGCTGACAGACTACAGTACAGAGGGGGACCAGGCTGACAGACACAGACTACAGTACAGAGGGGGACCAGGCTGACAGACACAGACTACAGTACAGAGGGGGACCAAGCTGACAGACTACAGTACAGACGGGGACCAGGCTGACAGACACAGACTACAGTACAGAGGGGGACCAGGCTGACAGACACAGACTACAGTACAGAGGGGGACCAGGCTGACAGACTACAGTACAGACGGGGACCAGGCTGACAGACTACAGTATTGAGAGGGACCAGGCTGACAGACCACAGACTACAGTACAAGAGGGGGACCAGGCTGACAGACTACAGTACAGAGGGGGACCAGGCTGACAGACTACAGTACAGAGGGGGACCAGGCTGACAGACTACAGTACAGAGGGGGACCAGGCTGACAGACTACAGTACAGACGGGGACCAGGCTGACAGACACAGACTACAGTACAGAGGGGGACCAGGCTGAACAGACTACAGTACAGAGGGGGACCAGGCTGGACAGACTACAGTACAGAGGGGGACCAGGCTGACAGACTACAGTACAGAGGGGGACCAGGCTGACAGACACAGACTACAGTACAGACAGGGACCAGGCTGACAGACACAGACTACAGTACAGAGGGGGACCAGGCTGACAGACTACAGTACAGAGGGGGACCAGGCTGACAGACACAGACTACAGTACAGAAGGGACCAGGCTGACAGACACAGACTACAGTACAGAGGGGGACCAGGCTGACAGACACAGACTACAGTACAGAGGGGGACCAGGCTGACAGACACAGACTACAGTACAGACAGGGGACCAGGCTGACAGACACAGACTACAGTACAGAGGGGGACCAGGCTGACAGACACAGACTACAGTACAGAGGGGGACCAGGCTGACAGACAAAGACTACAGTACAGAGGGGGACCAGGCTGACAGACACAGACTACAGTACAGAGGGGGACCAGGCTGACAGACCAGACTACAGTACAGAGGGGGACCAGGCTGACAGACACAGACTACAGTACCGAGGGGGACCAGGCTGACAGACACAGACTACAGTACAGAGGGGGACCAGGCTGACAGACACAGACTACAGTACAGAGGGGGACCAGGCTGACAGACACAGACTACAGTACAGAGGGGGACCAGGCTGACAGACACAGACTACAGTACAGAGGGGGACCAGGCTGACAGACACAGACTACAGTACAGAGGGGGACCAGGCTGACAGACACAGACTACAGTACAGAGGGGGACCAGGCTGACAGACACAGACTACAGTACAGAGGGGACCATGGCTGACAGACACAGACTACAGTACCAGAGGGGGACCAGGCTGACAGACACAGACTACAGTACAGAGGGGGACCAGGCTGACAGACACAGACTACAGTACAGAGGGGGACCAGGCTGACAGACTACAGTACAGAGGGGGACCAGGCTGACAGACACAGACTACAGTACAGAGGGGGACCAGGCTGACAGACTACAGTACAGAGGGGGACCAGGCTGACAGACACAGACTACAGTACAGAGGGGGACCAGGCTGACAGACACAGACTACAGTACAGAGGGGGACCAGCTGACAGACTACAGTACAGAGGGGGACCAGGCTGACAGGACTACAGTACAGAGGGGGACCAGGCTGACAGGACAACTACAGTACAGAGGGGGACCAGGCTGACAGACTACGACAGAGGGGGACCAGGCTGACAGACTACAGTACAGAGACGGGGACCAGGCTGACAGACACAGACTACAGTACAGAGGGGGACCAGGCTGACAGACTACAGTACAGAGGGGGACCAGGCTGACAGACTACAGTACAGACGGGGACCAGGCTGACAGACACAGACTACAGTACAGAGGGGGACCAGGCTGACAGACACAGACTACAGTACGAGGGGGACCAGGCTGACAGACTACAGTACAGAGGGGACCAGGCTGACAGACTACAGTACAGAGGGGGACCAGGCTGACAGTCTACAGTACAGACGGGGACCAGGCTGACAGACTACAGTATAGAGAGGGACCAGGCTGACAGACACAGACTACAGTACAGAGGGGGACCAGGCTGACAGACACAGACTACAGTACAGAGGGGGACCAGGCTGACAGACATACAGTACAGAGGGGGACCAGGCTGACAGACACAGACTACAGTACAGAGGGGGACCAGGCTGACAGACACAGACTACAGTACAGACAGGGACCAGGCTGACAGACACAGACTACAGTACAGAGGGGGACCAGGCTGACAGACACAGACTACAGTACAGAGGGGGACCAGGCTGACAGACTACAGTACAGAGGGGGACCAGGCTGACAGACACAGACTACAGTACAGAGGGGGGACCAGGCTGACAGACACAGACTACAGTACAGAGGGGGACCAGGCTGACAGACACAGACTACAGTACAGAGGGGGACCAGGCTGACAGACACAGACTACAGTACAGAGGGGGACCAGGCTGACAGACACAGACTACAGTACAGAGGGGGACCAGGCTGACAGACACAGACTACAGTACAGAGGGGGACCAGGCTGACAGACACAGACTACAGTACAGAGGAGGGACCAGGCTGACAGACACAGACTACAGTACAGACGGGGACCAGGCTGACAGACACAGACTACAGTACAGAGGGGGACCAGGCTGACAGACACAGACTACAGTACAGAGGGGGACCAGGCTGACAGACTACAGTACAGAGGGGGACCAGGCTGACAGACTACAGTACAGAGGGGGACCAGGCTGACAGACTACAGTACAGAGGGGGACCAGGCTGACAGACTACAGTACAGAGGGGGACCAGGCTGACAGACACAGACTACAGTACAGAGGGGACCAGGCTGACAGACACAGACTACAGTACAGAGGGGGACCAGGCTGACAGACTACAGTACAGAGGGGGACCAGGCTGACAGACTACAGTACAGAGGGGGACCAGGCTACGCACAGACACAGACAGGACCAGGTACGGCAGAGGGGGACCAGGCTGGACAGACTACAGTACAGAGGGGGACCAGGCTGACAGACACAGACTACAGTACAGAGGGGGACCAGGCTGACAGACACGACTACAGTACAGAGGGGGACCAGGCTGACAGACACAGACTACAGTACAGAGGGGGACCAGGCTGACAGACACAGACTACAGTACAGAGGGGGACCAGGATGACAGACACAGGACTACAGTACAGAGGGGGACCAGGCTGACAGACTACAAGTACAGAGGGGGACCAGGCTGACAGACACAGACTACAGTACAGAGGGGGACCAGGCTGACAGACACAGACTACAGTACAGAGGGGACCAGGCTGACAGACACAGACTACAGTACAGAGGGGGACCAGGCTGACAGACACAGACTACAGTACAGAGGGGGACCAGGCTGACAGACACAGACTACAGTACAGAGGGGGACCAGGCTGACAGACACAGACTACAGTACAGAGGGGGACCAGGCTGACAGACACAGACTACAGTACAGAGGGGGACCAGGCTGACAGACTACAGTACAGAGGGGGACCAGGCTGACAGACACAGACTACAGTACAGAGGGGGACCAGGCTGACAGACACAGACTACAGTACAGAGGGGGACCAGGCTGACAGACACAGACTACATTACAGAGAGGGGACCAGGCTGACAGACGTACAGTACAGACGGGGACCAGGCTGACAGACAAAGACTACAGTACAGAGGGGACCAGGCTGACAGACACAGACTACAGTACAGAGGAGGGACCAGGCTGACAGACACAGACTACAGTACAGAGGGGGACCAGGCTGACAGACACAGACTACAGTACAGAGGGGGACCAGGCTGACAGACACAGACTACAGTACAGAGGGGACCAGGCTGACAGACACAGACTACAGTACAGAGGGGGACCAGGCTGACAGACACAGACTACAGTACAGAGGAGGGACCAGGCTGACAGACTACAGTACAGACGGGGACCAGGCTGACAGACACAGACTACAGTACAGAGGGGGACCAGGCTGACAGACACAGACTACAGTACAGAGGGGGACCAGGCTGACAGACACAGACTACAGTACAGAGGGGGACCAGGCTGACAGACACAGACTACAGTACAGAGGGGGACCAGGCTGACAGACACAGACTACAGTACAGAGGGGGACCAGGCTGACAGACACAGACTACAGTACAGAGGGGGACCAGGCTGACAGACACAGACTACAGTACAGAGGGGGACCAGGCTGACAGACACAGACTACAGTACAGAGGGGGACCAGGCTGACAGACACCAGACTACAGTACAGGGGGGGACCAGGCTGACAGACACAGACTACAGTACAGAGGGGGACCAGGCTGACAGACACAGACTACAGTACAGAGGGGGACCAGGCTGACAGACACAGACTACAGTACAGAGGGGGACCAGGCTGACAGGACTACAGTACAGAGGGGGACCAGGCTGACAGGACTACAGGACAGAGGGGGACCAGGCTGACAGACTACAGTACAGAGGGGGACCAGGCTGACAGACACAGACTACAGTACAGAGGGGGACCAGGCTGACAGACTACAGTACAGAGGGGGACCAGGCTGACAGACTACAGTACAGAGGGGGACCAGGCTGACAGACAACAGACTACAGTACAGAGGGGGACCAGGCTGACAGAACACAGACTACAGTAAAGAGGGGGGACCAGGCTGACAGACTACAGTACAGAGGGGGACCAGGCTGACAGACACAGACTACAGTACAGAGGGGGACCAGGCTGACAGACTACAGTACAGAGGAGGACCAGGCTGACAGACACAGACTACAGTACAGA